TAAACGATCTCTTCTTTCGTTCTCCACACGTCCCTGAGACCCCACGGGCCGGGCCCGGAGGGAGGGCCGCTACGGGACACGAACACAGGCCTCCCCTGTCCGTCGCCGGATCCAGACTGGGCTTCAGAACCTTTCCCGACCCGACTCCTGCCGGCCCGTCTGCACCGACTGGTGTTGGCACTTGGGATGAAATGTATCTGCTATTCAGACCTAACAATAGCACGTTCGCTGTGCATTTGGAGAGAGAGAGACGACTCGTTTAAAAAAAGGTTTTTTTTAAATGTGTATTTATTTTTGAGACAGACAGAGAGAGAGAGAGAGAGAGAGAGCATGAACAGGGGAGGGCAGAGAGAGAGGGAGACACAGAATCCGAAGCAGGCGCCAGGCTCCGAGCTGTCAGCACAGAGCCTGACGCGGGGCTCGAACCCACAGACCGTGAGATCATGACCTGAGCCGAAGTCGGACGCTCAACCGACCGAGCCCCCCAGGCGCCCCAGAACGCGTGTAAGTTTTGAGGGGAGAGGTTCCCAGCCACCCCACCTCCTGAGACCAGCAGACAGCAGGCCCTTCGGACCCTGCCGACCGTGACCAGTGCCGCGAAAGCAGCTTTGTTCTTGAGAAGCACATCAAGGGCTCGGCTCCAAGGAGGAGGCCAAGGTCACCAGGGGGCAGTCCCACCGCTGATGGTTTCTGTGGCCCCCGGCGCTACCACTCCCGAGTTTGGGTGAGAACGGCGAGGGGCGGGACGCGGGTTCTCATAGCAACACCCACGCGGCTGGTGTTTTCCAGGACGCAGCGCGTCCCGTCCCCAGAGCTGGAGAGTCCACGCGGCACAGGTGGCGGGGAGGGTCTCGGACTCTGGGCTCTGGACGGAGCCACAGGGACCACAGAGGAGTTCAGGGCACCTGCCACCAGTAGTGGCCGCAACACGTTGGCTAATACGGTCGGTTGTCAAGGAAGCAGAATCGTGGGCAGAACGAAGTTGGAGGGACTTTCTAACTATCTGAGAGCGACCAAGAAAACCCATGTTATTAGGAAGACTCATGTTTAATGATGCGTATTAGTCACCTTTCCTGCTTTAGGAAGAGGGGTTTGTGGGACACGAGGGGCTGTTTGGGGCTGTGAGGGTGTGTCGGTGCCTCAGATACTTGCTACGCACGCCGGTCCGACCAGGTTAGACGCAGGCGCGTGAAGCTGCTGGAGAGTGGGCAGAAGTTGTGCCGTCAAGGAGTTTCAGGCCAAGGACATGGCGCGGGACAGCAGATTGCTGCTGCTGCACGTGCGGCGATGGACGCTCGCCCCCGCCGGGACCCTTGCAGTAGCACACTCGCTGTTCTGCCCCGACACGGCGGGTGGACCCTGTAACGGCCCTGGTGGCTTCATGTGGCCCTCAAGCCTGAGGTCTGAGCGCTGGCTTCTCCCCACCCTCGTGAGCTCCTGTGGACCAGTCTCTCCCGGTCTCCTGGCCCCTCACCTGTGCAGGCGCTGCCCCCCGCCCCCGTCTCACACACCCTTTTCCCTGTTCCTTGCCTGGCAACAGCCCGTCTCAGTTAGAAGTCCCTTCATCAGAGGGGCCTTTTCCGATCGCTCAACCGAATTATGGCTTTTTCAGGTTGAAATCGTTGCCTCATTTTATCTCACTTTATCTTGCATCCCGCGTTGCAAATGACGATTCTCATGTCAACCTGACTCTCGTTCACGCGCAGGAAGCCTTTACAACCTCCCACTCCTCTTGGGTAGCCGCCGCAATTCCCTCTTCATTCTCGATGTTCCGTGCGTCACTCCGACACGGCCAGGTTGTTTCTGCTCGTCTCTCCTGCGTGGTTCTCCGTGGGCGCTTGCCACGTGCTCTTTTACACCTTCCCCTGGTGCCGGGAGGTCCCAGCTGTTAAATCTGCACGCTCTCACGGCTCCAGTGTCTGTTCCCCCTTTTCTGGAATTCCTTTAAGGTGGATAGTGGAACTGGTGGGGCATTTCTTCACTCTCAGCTTGATAGCTTTATTTTTATTATTTTTTTAAGTCCAAACAAAGCTTTCCAGTTCTTTATCTCTTCGTGTTGCATTGTGAAAAAAAAAAATTCTTCAGCCTCATTTCTTGTTTCAGGAGCTAGCTTGTATCATGGGCCGTTCTGCTTCGCGGCCTTTCTGTAGTGCGATTCCGTTCAAAAATTAATTTCGTGTACAAGATCTAGTTGGTTCTTTTTCAGTGCTTTTTCATTTTGCTCATAGATACTTATTCTCTCATCTTTTTTTATTTTTAAAACCGTTTATTTATTTATTTTGAGAGATAGACAGAGTGTGCGTGGGGGAGAGGCAGAGAGAGAGACACAGAATCAGAAGCAGGATCCAGGCTCTGACCTACAGGGGTTCGAACTCATGAACCGCAAGATCATGACCTGAGCCGAAGTCGGACGCTCCACCGACTGAGCCCCCCAGGTGCCCCATGTCTTATCTTGATGAAGATATTCAGTGTGTGATTTGAGAGCAGGCTCTGACTGCCCCAAGAGTTCTGTTCCTCTGCTATTTCTCTTTCCTGACGTTGGTGTCCCCAAATGTCTGCACGTTCTTGGTGGTGAGTTCATCCCGTTAGTTGGTATTTCCCACTGGTCTCTCAATGTGTCTCCAAGAATTGCTGTTGTAATAATTTCCTCTCTGAAGAAAGACAAACGACTCAGAGATTTAAGGGCCACGCATGTGTGGTAGGCTTAAGTCAGCACACCCTTCACCGGGGGGCTGGCCAGAGCCTTCCTGGCTGTGGCACGGAGGTGACGGTGACATGCCAGCTCTGCCTTCTAGTTTTTGTTGGCACTCGCTTTGCTTTTCTCTTTGTTTACTTAAAATTTAAAAATATTTTGGCTTATTTATTTATTTTGAGAGAGAGAGAGAGAGCACAAGCAAGCAGGGGAGGGGCAGAGAGAGAAGGAGAGAGAGAATCCCAGCAGGCTCTGCAGTCAGCACAGAGCCCAATGTGGGGCTCGAACCCACGAACCGTGAGATCGTGACCTGAGCCAAAATCAAGAGTCCGACGCTTAACCGACTGGGCCAGCCAGGTGCCCTCTCTTCGTTTACTTAAATTTAAATGGATCGTCCCCTCCTTCCAGCCAGATGATCAGTTTTGGGAATCCCGCTGGGGAATCTGTAACCCAGTTAAGCCTCTCCCCACGTGTGAGTGCCTAGGAGAGTCGCAGAGGACCAGAGTTACGCAGACGCTGGCGGGCATGGCGCACACCTGGGCAGGTGCCCCGGCCGCAGGCGGCACCCATGTGCTCTCATAGGAGGAACACCACCCCGATTAGGCGGACGAGCCATATAAAAATGGCTGGGATGTGGCACGAGGTCCCGGCCTCCGGAGAGAAGAGGCAGCTGGTGAGGGAACTGGGGGTGCAAACTGGAGAGTCAGGTGAGAAGGTGGCCGTCAACGCGGGGGCTACAGACCTACTGGGGACGACGGCTTTAGAAACGGGACGTTATTTGTAACCACATTCAGCTTGTTGTTGGTTTTGGGAAGGGAAATAACATCATCGGATCTGTGTTTTAGGTGTGGGTTGGGGGGGGTGGGGGAGGACTGGGGGGACCCTGATGTCCCCCCAACATCGGGACCCTGTCCTCTGCTCCAGCCACGCCTGCACCGCTCCTTCCGGGTGCCTCCGCGTCCTGTGCCCGTCTGTCCTGCATGGGCAGCCTGAGGGCAGTCACCAGGGCCAGTCCGACGGGGACAGAACACGGACAGGACAGGGAGTGGGCCAGTTAGACCTCACAGACCCGGGCGGGGGTTGCACTTAGCTGATGAGGGACACAGAAAAGCAGAGGTGACAGCTGGGCCCGGGCTTGCAGTCTGGGAGCATCAGTGTGGCCACCGGAACCAGGAAAGTTGTAGGACGGACTCATCCCTGGGGAAAAGCCATCGGGTCCATTTGTGGCCAGTGTGGGGTCTCAGGAGACTTAACAGCCCATCTCCCTGTTTCAGTTCCGAATGAAATCAGCAACAGATAAAAGAACAGCGGGTGACTGCCACCAAAACATGCCCGGACCCGTGATAAAGGCGGGGGCATGTAGTGTGGGCGGAGAGCAGGACACATCTGGGGGCG